TGAACAACAACGTTTTGAATGCGGGATGAGTAAATCAATAAATTTCACTAGTCCGAGACACCCTATTATAATATACGGAATATTAATTACTTCAATACAAATAATATCTACACGTGCTAACGTCTTTCACTGGCGATACATAATTAACTGTGGAACGAAGGTCTGTTGTTTTTCTTTTAAAATGCAATTGAACGTCAAATTCTCTGCCACAAGCACCAAGTCTTGGTCCGCCAAAAGAATCATATCTATATATATATACAAATGAATTACTGTTCGTTAGTCTCACTAAAACTCGAGAACGGCTGGACCGATTTGGCTAATTTTGGTCTTGAATTATTTGTGGAAGTCCAGAGAAGGTTTAAAAGGTAGATAAATATGAAAATGCTCGGAATATAAAAAATAACACTTTTGTTTTCCCTTTGATATCCCCCCGTCGGACGGATTCCTTTTCTTTGTTTTAAGTTTATTTTATACAAAAGTTTAGGTCTTTTATTTATCGATTGAGGCACTACGAAGTCTGCCGGGTCAGCTAGTATATAATAAATATCAAATAATATAAAATCATCATAAAATAATACAAATATCAAATGTCAGAACTGATAAACAGTGTAAGCTCAAACCGCAAGACACACTGATGTAATGACATTGTTATGTGACTCTGAATTAAAAAAAATAATTAGTAATCTATGCTTGGAGGAATGAAATATAAAATAAAATCTAAGTTATCTTTGTTTTCAGAATATATGATCAATTTTACAAATGCATGTAACTTACTTTTAATTAGTTAATAACAGGTAATACAGGCAATGCAAGCTCCATCTGTATGTATAATACAAGTATTAAAATGATTTTCGCATGATTATTATTCTCCTTCGCCTAGTAAAATTTAATTATAAATTATAAACGAATTGGCATGCCATTCGAATGGCCTAAATACAAATTGAGTACACATATAGATGTTTGTCTAAAAGCGGTTGTCATAAACACTCATGAATTTCAATGTTGGTTCTATTTCGTCAGGGCGCGCTTGCAAAAAGAATATCGTACGTGTGCGTAGGGGCATTAGGCTCAAAAAGGGATGGGGAGGCAACGCCGAGTGTCACGAAGCCTGCTCGAGGCAATTTGGTACCAAATGTCGTGCGCTACGTGCCCTACAAATAAAGAAGATGGGATAAACTCGCCTGTATCATGTTTGCAAAGTTAGCTTAGCATACTATGTATGATTCAGGCAATGAAAAAACTTTGTAATAGAACTTTTATATTCCAAAACTAGCTGACCCGGCAGACTTCGTAGTGCCTCAATCGATAAATAAAAGACCTAAACTTTTGTATAAAATAAACTTAAAACAAACAAAAGGAATCCGTCCGACGGGCGACACATCAAAGGAAAAACAAAATTGTTATTTTTATTTAATTCCGAGCATTTTCATATTTATCTACATTTTAAACCTTCTCTGGACTTCCACAAATAATTCAAGACCAAAATTAGCCAAATCGGTCGAGCCGTTCTCNTCGATAAATAAAAGACCTAAACTTTTGTATAAAATAAACTTAAAACAAACAAAAGGAATCCGTCCGACGGGCGACACATCAAAGGAAAAACAAAATTGTTATTTTTATTTAATTCCGAGCATTTTCATATTTATCTACATTTTAAACCTTCTCTGGACTTCCACAAATAATTCAAGACCAAAATTAGCCAAATCGGTCGAGCCGTTCTCGAGTTTTAGCGAGACTAACGAACAGAAATTCATTTATATATATATAGATAGATAATAGATAATAAGGGGGAAAATGTTTACGTTTAAAGTCTAAAACAGGATTTTAGGTTATACCAAATCTAGATTAGAGCCACTATTATAAATATATCATTATTTAGATTTATAAAACAAATACAAAAAATGTGTGCGTTAAACCCAAACAAATGTGCCGAAATAACGTTATGCACGCGTAATGCATTTTAAATAAACACATCAACAATTTTCCCCTACAACACCGTTCGCCTTCCGTTGCTTAATTTTTGTAAGTGCGATTCTATTTTCACCCTTGGGCGTCACTGTACACCCTCAAGATTTACGCGGCCTACGCGAGCAATAAGCGGCCAAGACGGGCCCACCCGGAACGGCCTACACGGTATTTTAAAAAGGTACGTCTGAATTCAGTAAAAAATTACCTTCAGTCCGCCCCAACCAAAAATCCATATATTTAAGTCGCTCTGTATTTGAACGAAGATGGGGATAGATAACTTATTTAAACTCGTCAAGAATCACGTCTCCTGAGAACTGAGATGCCTAGTTTAGTTTGTTGATGCTATATTGAGTTTGTAATTCAACTGGTTTAAATATTGGTATGTCTCAGAAGTTTTTTTTACTCAGATCTACAAAATTTTATGTTAGATTTATTGTAGGTGTTTATAAATATACAAATCCAATTTAATAGTAATAGTAACCAAGTAAATTAATCAAATTGCTTCTAAATCATTCCAAACAGTAAAACAGATAAACATAATGAATGTAACATCAACGACCATTACACAAATATGCCTCATAAAAAAATTGAGTCAGCGGGATCGTAAAACACATTAGCACGTAGTTCAACCCCACACTCGCTACAGGAAGACCAGCGTTATTCGGGCAAAAGGAAAAATGCATTTACTTTTATAATATGGCTAGCGATTACAACGGTCGATAGCGTACCTTATTTCGGCCATTGTCAGTTAGCCTCTTTTATTAAAGTCTAAAATGACTCCAATTTAATATTAAACACGAGAACATGCTCCGATATGCCTTTAACAGCAGCGCGTACTTCCAATTTCACATTTAGAACGACTATGGTAATTTCGCAAACTAGATACTATAAAATGTTCATGTTCACATATTTACTTGTTGGAAAGTGGTTACACGCTCGGAATGAACGTTAAACGCGTCGCAAAATAAATTACCAAGCACAAACGCTCGCGAAATAACATCAAAGTTTTCATAATGAAGATTGTATGGCGTAAAATATTACAAAATCTTAAAAAAAAAACAAAATCGGAAACGCGCTCTCTCAAAACCGGCATAGAGAGCGCTAACCAATCGCATCAGAGTGTGCTTTTCGTATTTTAGTGTCTAGTAAAAAGAAATGACGCTTTATATTGTTAAAAAATTGGCTTCGTAAATAAATAGCCGCTTTTGTTTAGTCAAAGCACGCAGATGTTTTGTATTCGTTGAAGCTATCTTTTACATGTGCAGTGTAGTTAACTGATTCATAAAGTTTTATGAGATTACCAAGAATTATAGGTTTAAAGAGTGTGTATTTGTATAGGAATGTAGTCTGTGAGACGGCAAACTCGAGTCGGCCACACCTTCTAGCAAACGAGGCCGGCGCACCGCTCAGCAGCATCCTTGAAAGGCCACATTCCAGTATCAAAGTCTATTTACGGCCCAAGTCCCCGATTTCTACATGTACAAACATGCCAATATTTACTAACAGCTTTGAAAATCCAAAGTCAATTTATGGGCAAAATAGTTTTTTAATGTAATGTAGGCTTTAAATCTAATTAACCATATACAAATCAGTTCATGAATCATTTATTATTATGAATCACTTGCGTTCATCATTTTAAGTATTTAACTGGTAAAAACAGGAGCATCTCCAAATATGTAAAGAATCATATCCAAAATTATAGAAATATGTTATATTTTGTACGTTATTACAAAGTTAAGTCGTACAATTTTAGCATTACTAATAAAAATCTTACGTTACGGACGTTTTTTCCCGGTTAGGGTACCCCTCCACATCGTCCCATAAGGAACTTCGTCCCAAAAATAAATCTCGTCTTAGTTCATAACACTTGAAGCCGCAACGAAAAAAATTTGTCTCACGCGAAACCACTAATAATAATTGTCGCATTGCATAAGTGCAGACGAGCTAAAACTTTACATGGTTAAACATGGTATTAGGTTACGGGAGTCCTTAGAAGCGGCGGCGTAAATAGCGCTTTCAAATATCCGTTCAGGGAATCAAACGTACGTTAAAAATATGACTGCATAGCATTTTATACGACCAACAACACTCTATAATACAATTTAGAAACCGCATTCGTGAAACGTGTTAGGTATACATTTTTTTTTTTTTTTTTTTTTTATTGCTTAGATGGATGGGCGAGCTCACAGCCCACCTGGTGTTAAGTGGTTACTGGAGCCCATAGACATCTACAACGTAAATGCGCCACCCATCTCGAGATATAAGTTCTAAGATCTCAGTATAGTTACAACGGCTACCCCACCCTTCGAACCGAAACGCATTACTGCTTCACGGCGGAAATAGGCGGGGTGGTGGTACCTACCCGTGCGGACTCCCAAGAGGTCCTACCACCAGTAATTACGCAAATTATAATTTTGCGGGTTTCATTTTTATTACACGATGTTATTCCTTCACCGTGGAANTAATTACGCAAATTATAATTTTGCGGGTTTCATTTTTATTACACGATGTTATTCCTTCACCGTGGAAGTCAATCATGAACATTTGTTGAGTACGTATTTCATTAGAAAAATTGGTACCCGCCTGCGGGATTCGAACACCGGTGCATCGCTTCAACACGAATGCACCGGACGTCTTATCCGTTAGGCCACGATGACTACTCAAAGTCATTTACATTATTTAAAAGAAAATGGCCATTTGGTTTTAAGTTGTATTATATTACATTTTGTGCACCCCAAAAAATATTAGTTAGATATCAGGAATCATAAACACAAGCAACCCATCTTCGTTTTTGAGAACGATACTCTTGTGTGCATGTTGTTAGGTTTGTTCACTCACACTGGACAGCTTGTTGCAATTATTTAAGTATTTGAAAATGGCATGGGCAAAGGTTGCGTAAACAGCTTGTTCGGCTAGCAGCTTGGATTAAAAAGGTCAACATTAGGATTAGCGTTTCATTTAAGGTCATTCCGAGAGTGTTTGTTGTTGTACACTTAGTACTTTTGTGAATATATGTTTTTGTTTTGTTTCAGAATATCCTGGACAAGTTCAATCCGGGTGCCCGGCAGATGATAACTGCTGGAAAGGCATATTTAAAAGCTCTACATGGTATGTAACTTTTAATAAATATATCTATCTATTCTCTTCTTTTAGGTCAATTAATTCAATAACATACTTGATTTAATCAGAAAATTCATAATTCATCCGAAGGAAGTAATTGTCTGGCTATAAAAAGAATTTAAAAAAAAAAAAAAAATATTAGATTACAAGTTTATAATGGGAGAAAACTGTTATGTAATTGATCAAATGAATCAATCCAACCAAATAAAAAAAGAAACAGAAGAAAAGTTTGAAAAGGTTTTTTTATAATAGCAATAAAATTATTCAGATGTCGTCAATACATTCTCAAAACAAAGAATCTCAAATGTTTTATATTAGAATCGAATTGAACCGTAACAATACACAAAAACTATATCCGAAAACGTATATAAATACCATTTGGAATCAAGGAATGAATAAACAAGAAAGGTTAAAGGTTTTGTTGGGGCTTGGAACGTATCGTGTGGGCTGGATTGCCTACGCGCCGCAATAGGTATTGTGTAATGTTAAGAAAGTGAAATCCTACACGTGACATTGATAATCTGAGTGACATGTATACACTGAGATGTGCATAATAATTTATGTACTGTAAGCTAAATAGGCGCATCTATATGCAAAACTTCAACGTTCCTCAGTGTAGCGTTTACTTGGCTACAGAACTGGGGCGTAGTTTGTGCCAAATTGTCTCTGTTGGCTTATCTAGAGTATTATGGCTGGCGCTCTCATGGCAATAAACTCGGATTTTATATGAGACTAGCGGCCCACTCCAGCTTCGCTCGGGTCTTCAATAAAAAAATCTAAATTAACAATCATAATACACACACATCAACCCTTCTATTTGGGTCAGCTTACTAAAAAAAGAAAATTATAAAGATAGTTTTGAATAGCCTTGGGTTACATTATTGGAGTTTTAGCAAGGATCCCTATTTAAAAAAAAGGGTGTGTGTACTTATGTACGCGTATAAGAAGTCATACTTTATTTTTATTAATGAATGCTAATAACACTTTTTTTACGAGTGTACATGCGCGAAAGTTCACCTGCGGCTATATTCAGACTCGCCAAGCTACGTCGGTCGTATTGTAATGAGTGATTTAGTGGGCAACTTCATTTCTGTTAATTTTGCGTCACATTGCGCGTGCATCGTAAAATTTCACTCTCATCAATTTTTCATAACGCGCCTAAAGAAGTATAGCTTCAAAAAGAATATAGCCTATGTCACTCGGGGATAGCTTCCAAACAGTGAAAGAATTTTTCAAATCGGTTCAGTAGTTTCGGAGCCTATTCAATACAAACAAACAAATCTTTCCTCTTTATAATATTAAGTATAAGTATAAGTATAGATGTACGGCCCCGGAAGCCTGTTCTTTATTTTGACGACGACGCGCGGCTAATTTTATTTCATCTTGAAACATGACCGCGAGAACGGCCTTTACGATCGAGTTAGATTTTATCATTGTTCGTGTCGAACTAAATTTCTTAAAAGGACACTAAAATGTGATTAAATCCGCGTATCTCGAGACATCAAAGGAAAACGTAATGTAAATGTGAGGAGATATTACAATTTAATATCCATTTTATTATAGGAGATCCGTCACCTTATTTTTCCTTTTACTCAAATTTGAAATACGAAGCAACATAAAGAGGCTTGGAACGGGTGTATGAAGCCATGAATTATTCAATTTAATACATCACAATTGACAATGTTTTAAATGTACTTATATTCATGCCTAAGGAATTATTATGAAGCGATTTTGGTCTTTTGTAGTGAATACTTAGCGTCTACTTTCAAATCCTGGTTAAGTATTACTGTGTATAGTCCAACCAAATTTTCATGTATATACTCGTACATATGTGTGTTATTGATCGATTCTTAATTTTTGACTATTACTACACGACATATTTTATGTAGTTTAAACAATAAATCGCGTCATTTTTTTTTTATGTAAATACATTTTAAAATTTAATGCCGTAAGTGAAATATATGTATGTATCTTTACGTTGTTTCTTTTAAACTATTCGAGTGTAGTATCGATTTTATTAATGAATAAATATATAATTTGTTTCTTCTACTCCAATTTTATTATTTTATAAAATATATTATATTCTTATAGAACATATCAGGTAGCGAATAGACAAAATGACAAAAACTGTAAGCCTTATAATGTTGTTTTGTTCGCGTTTCTATGGATGTATGCGGATTCTAGAAACCGTTTACACAATGGAGTTGAGAAATTAGGAGAAAATAGGGGTTGGGAGTGCACAACTACTTTTTCATACCATTAACACTTTACAACAAACAGGCGCACGCACGTGCAATCGTTATTGTTAGGTCGATCTTAAAAATCACATGTAGGCTTAATAATGTTTTTTTTTATAAAATTGAATTATTATACATATACATTTATATTACAAACTTTATCACTAAAAATATTAATTGAAATCGTTTAAAAAAAAGAAATATTACATTTGCGATAGTCGATGTTTTCGGCGTAGACGTAACAAGTCTTACTTGCTTTATGACATAGCACATCATCATCATCATCAACAGCCCACAGTCGTCCACTGCTGGACATAGGCCTCTCCTAATCCACACCACTGAGCCCGATCTGCGGCTCTCCTCATCCACTTCTTGCCGGCCACCATGCGGAGGTCATCGCACCACCTAGCCATCACACTTTAAAACTATGAAAAAAATATATCATTTTGATTATATCATTAATATTATTTTTGTTTTCGTATTTACCTTTTCACCGAAAACGAAAACTGAGAAGCTACTTACAAAAGCTTCGTCGAGTACAGTCACGAAGTAAAACCATTAATTTATTTCGCACGTAGGTGCGGCGGCGGCGTCTCGTCTCTACGTGGACGCAGTGGGGAAGCTGGGCAGGCAGGCGCAACAAGGAACATGGGGCGGTTGCGCCGACATAGGTATGCATGCGGATCTAAATAATATGCTCGGACATCCAGGACACATTATGAATTTTCATTTGCTCTAATGTTACATACGACCATTCGGTGTTTCCCGAGCGCTATGACATGTTCTTCTTCAAACGAGGCTTGTGGAGAGTATTAAGCGGTAGGCAGCGGCTTGGCTCTGCCCCTGGCATTGCTGAAGTCCATGGGCGACGGTAACCACTCACCATAAGATGGGCCGTATGCTCGTCTGCCTACAAGGGCAATAAAAAAAAATGCAGATCTAAATAATATGCTCGGACATACAGCACACATAATGAATTTTCGTTTGCTCTAATTTTATATACGACCATTTTTAAGATAAGATTTCTTTAAACACTTAATTATAGTAAGGTTAGCTGTCTCTTGTATATGATAGGTAGACGCCCATAACGGTAACTAAAATAATATAAGAAAAACCTAAAAAAAATTTCTTCGTGTGTTTCTTATGTTATTTCAATCGAAGCTCTTAAAGCTATCTCGTTGAAACTTTGTTCGTTACAATAACGTCTATTTAGTTGTTATGGTAAATAAACAGGCAAGATCACGACTAATATAATGTCAACTGATCAACAAAGACCGTAGATATCTTAATGAATGATTAATCCAATATACCGCTTTCATGCGTAAGGTTTTAATTGCATTGGAATAACTGAGATAAAAATAAAATAACACTTTAAAGAGATCAACCCGTGCTCACCTGTAATAGATCTTGGTACCAACACTCAACATAGGAGTTAGTTTTTACTGGTGGTAGGACCTCTTGTGAGTCCGCGCTGGTAGGTACCACCACCCTGCCTATTTCTGCCGTGAAGCAGTAATGCGTTTCGGTTTGAAGGGTGGGGCAGCCGTTGTAACTATACTGAGATCTTAGAACCTATATCTCAAGGCGGGTGGCGCATTTACGTTGTAGATGTCCATGGGCTCCAGTAACCACTTAACACCAGGTGGGCTGTGAGCTCGTCCACCCATCTAAGCAATAAAAAAAAAAAAAGAACACTAGTTAGTAAAATACATCAAGAACGGATAATCGGTTACTCAGAAGCTCTAAAGGACCATAATTGCGTAACACGTATCACAGTTAGTTAGTATAGGTATCCCTGTATTAAAATACAATATATTTTTAAATCTAACCTTATTTCAATCGTTAGAAAATGTAGGGAAGATGAAGAAACCGCGTGACTCATAGAGCATGAGCTACGCAACTTTGTATATCAAAATCAAACAGACAGAAAAATCAAACCAAATTAATATTAATTTCACAGGAACGGCGCTCATGAAAGTCGTAGAAGTGTACAGGGAAATACAAGATCAACAAATGAACATCGTAAGTTTTAATAACCACGTTTAAGCTAAATTCATCCGTATTGTATCAAATGTAATCAACTGAAATAAATATAATAGAAAAATAATCAAAAGGAACAAATCAATAGTGTATTTACAGATATGTTGTTTCAAAATTACATATCGACTCTTGAAAGGCAAACGTGATTAAGCGACAATTACTGCTTTGTACATAAATGATAGGCAATAACCATATTCGATGCGCAAAAAATATATATTTGTAGGTATATTAAACTAATTTCAATCCTACAGCTAGATTCGTTGAAATAGAATTTTTTTCAGGTATTTCAACTTTAAATTAGTCTACTGTAAAGTTCACGCATTGTCGTTTAGTCACGTTTGCCTTTCAAGCGTCGATATGTTACCTCAAAAGTTTGGCAGTTTTATCTTATTTAGCCTAGCATCGGAATTCAACTTTTGGATTTATTTTAAAACTTGTTGTATTTAGCCATAATTTGTGTAATTGCTTGTCCAATTATTTTCGACAGCGGATCCAACAAAACAAACTAACGATAGAACACAAAAGCTGATTATTTTGTGTAATATTTGCGTACACCCACTTAACATAAAAGTTATTTGTTTGTTACAGTTGAAGGCGTTCTACGTAGATCTACTGGTTCCCTTGGAAACTAATCTCGAGAAAGATACAAAAGTAGTGCAGGTCAGTCAATAGGATTCCCTTTCATAATCTTTTATGTGAACTGTTCCAAGTTACAAGGGATTGTTTACTGGATTGAGAGGGCTTCGTTTCAAATAAGCTTAGCGTCGCGTTCGCCCGTGAGATAAGAAGTTCTATTAAAAAACTTTCGGACAATGTAAGTGACCTCCCGAAATAAATTGCAATGTTCGTATTCTTTCCTATTTACGAATGTACGTGCTCGATTTCAGATAAAAAGTGGATAACGGTAAAGGGATGAACGCTATTGTTTCTTAAATTACATAAACTACGAATGTAATTCTGTGAGAGTACGCGTTAAACAGTTCAAATGTTTCAGCCTTGAAACGTTATTGTATTGTTTGTCGTGGGTATGATGACTCAATACATTTCTGTTATTCTATATTTTTTAATCTTAATAATGGGCGTCATTCTCAAAGTACTGTAGACAAACACCATACTTTATAATATTAGATTTGTGAAAATATACAAGAAAGCGTTGGACTAAAATAGTGAACGTTGGTTCTGACGATGGTAATTGCCTGGGGACCGCTATCGGGCTCTGCCGCGGAGATCATGTCAATAAGAGCTTTTTGCGAGATCGAAGCGTGACTAATTTCAAATTTCTTCAATCTTTATTGCCTTTACAGCCCGCAGTGACTCTCAATCTTTTTTACCAAACAACGCACTAACATACTTTTTACAAATTCGCGACAGCCTTACATATTTCCATGCATTTATTTATGGTTGTAGAAACAAATTATTGAAATTTTACATCATTAATCTATTAAACTTGGTTGTGGGGTTAGCATCTAGCAGACTGTTGTAGACTAAGCCCGTATGCACAATAATGCAATAACACTTTTTATTAGATAAAAATGTCGTATATTTAAATGTGGCAACATACTTGATAGGGGTTCATGATACACCAATGTATCGCGTAACGGTGGTTGAGAGCCACTGGACTATAGTCCATAGATAGATGTTTCTATAGATAGATGTCGTGTTTAGATAGATGTTTGTGTGATCCCTAGTGCGCACGAGAATACCTCACTCTAGCTTGCTAAGGTATTAGGTAAATAGTTTGATTATGATATTCATAAACATTTTTCAGTCGGAACAAAAGAGATTCTTACAGCAACACAAATTGCGTTCTGAGAGCTACAGCAAGGCTGCTGCGACAATAAAGAAACAGAGGAAAAAGAAAACGAACGTGACCAAAGTGGGTTCTGCTATGGATAAAGAAATGAAGGTATGCACTGTCCTCCGATAAATCTTGTGTTTTATCGCATACTTTGATCAAGTTCCGTATGTACATCGATTTGGTAATTTCTTTCCTCAGAATATGCAAATTTTGGAAGAAGAGAAAACAAAACTGGATGCGTTCTGCGAACAAAGCTTAAAGAATGTGAGTATAAGGAGACTTGTGTGAAAAGTTTTATTTACTAAAATTGCCACCTATTGGTATAAATTCTAGAAATATTTGCTACGATTCAATTGATTTATGATTATGATTATTATCAACAGATTTAAAAAAAGGGGGGGTTTTATATGTGTCACCTCAGAAATGTTTCTAGATTAGATCCTTAACGATGATCATTTAACCTTTAACATTGTGATGATGTCAACTTCCTGTTTTGTTAATTTTAATTGTTTAATTACTATCACTTTGTTACTAGAGTTCGCGCGATTTTTATCTCAATATTTTTGTCGAGAACCGCTGTACAATTTTTTTTGTTGGTATTTCAAAGAGGTTTCATTTTATGCTATCAATGTGCGTTATTATTTTAACAAATGAATGTATCACTTTGAATCTTTGATCAGATAGTGCCCGGATTTCACTAATCAAATCTCATCAACGACATTATTGAAATAGAGAAAAAATACATCATAGGTAACTAAATGTAATGGAACGCCAATGAAATTCTATGGAAATAGGTCTACAACTCTCAAGTCTAGTACAATCTATCTAATGTACTATTACAAATTATACAGTTCTAAACTTAATTTGAAATGCCAATTTTACTAAATCCATCCGAAAATATTTCGAAATCAATAACGACACGCACAGTTTTTTCGCGTGTTTAAGAGATCAAGGGGACCCTATAATGATAATAAATTATGAATCACTTACAAAATTTCATATTGATTAAATTCTCTTTCGGTGTTACATTCAGGCTATGACCCAAGAGCGTCGCCGCTACGGCTTCGTTTTAGAACGCCAGTGCTCTCTTGCGAAGCATTGGCTCGCCTACCACACCGCCGGTGGGGCGGCGTACAGCGCGGGTCTGGACGAATGGCTCGAAGTTTCTAGAACCAGAGAGTACTTGCCACCGAACGTCGAAGCGATGTTCGTTAGCAGGATGCGGGTAAGATTCGATGATCACTTTAAAATATCCCTCTTGAAATATTTCAGCAGTTTATACTGGAATGGAAGACACTAAAGTCTTTTTAAATTATGTAGATCAAAATGAGGATTTTAGTAGCAGTGTTATATTTCGAAAATCGTCATGGCTTAAGATCGATATAAACTTGGTACATAATATTTGTAATAAACGTTGCGACTGGGCCGGTATTCGAATCGGGTCGACAGATATTGTGCTAAATTCAATAATGAATGATTTCACGGCAAAAGAATAAATAAAATTGTGTGATAAATACCTAACCCACCATATTGTAAGATCGATATGCGATCGGGATCGCATAGCTACCACTCATTCTGCCTATTTCAAGCGCGAAGAATTCATCGATTCCGATTTGAAGGGTTCTACCATTTAGCACAATTGAAACTTCAGTCTCATGTTTTAAGGTGGATAATGCTATTCACATTTTGGGGCATGTGGAGTACTTTAATATCCAGTAAGTCGTCAACTGGTCTACCCCTGTAGAATAAAAACATGTCTCTTATTTCGAAGCGCTTTTATTAGTTTGGTATGTGTGTAACGCAGGTGAATCTTGGAATTTCGTTTTTACCGACTACAAGAGTTTTGATTAACTTAATCATTTACCTACGCAATTTTATGATTTCGCTATAATATCCGGAGCAGTATAAACGGGGTATCCCACAGACACAGCCCACTGAGTTTCTCGCCGGATCTTCTCAGAGGGTCGCGTTTCCGATCCGGTGGTAGATTCTGCGAAGCACTGCTCTTGCCAGGGCCAGTGTTAGCAACACTCCGGTTTGAGCTCACCTACATGCTAGGGCGAAGCTGAAATAGCCTCTCAAGACTATCAGCATGGATAGGGGAAAAAAACGGGATAAAAAAAAGATGAAATTAATTGTTATTTCGATTTGCTGTTTAGGTGTTTTTAACTACATAATATATTTATTAGTCTAAAACTTGTTCACTGGTTCGGAATGGTTGGATTAAATAGTAAATGATTGTTTCAACAGCAAGTCTCATTTTGGGCCGACGAAGATGTATACGCCAGTCCTCGTGCAGGCGACGATGACGACAGAGCTTCAGTAGGTTCGGCTCTGAGGAAAACGAGATCAGTGGACGCGTCTTGTCTCGATGTGAGGTCCATTGGAGAGCTGGGTTCTCCTGCTCAGGGCCTGTCTCGTGCCAAATCCGATTTTAATTTACAAGCAAGCTCGCACAACGACGGTGGTGAGTAATATATTTCGCAAATAATTGAGAGCCTTGAAAAGTTTTAGTTTATTTATTTATATTCCCGTTCATTGTTCATTTCACTATCGCACTTCAAAATTATATTATACCTTTTTCATTTGTGACCACGAAAACAACGCGAGACCCAAAATGCTTACGATTTCTCAATAAAACACTATGCCATAGAATAATTCGATTTATTTCGCCAGAGGCAAAACGAAATGGAAATCTTTGGAGGAGACCTTTACCTGAGAGTGGTCCATGCATATAACATAAATCCAAAAAAAAAAAAAAACATTGCATGGAATAAAGGGCTTTTTTATTTATTTTTTAAATACTACTGCGGTAGGCAAAGGCTTGGCTCGGCCTGTGGCATTGCTGACGTCCATGAGCGACTGTAAACATTTATCATCAGGTGGGCCATACGCTCGCCTGCCTGCCAAGGCAATAAAAAAAATACTACTTTACCTACATAATATACTATAGATTTCAATTTACATTTACTTGAAAGGCTTGCTTAATACAAATGACACCTGTATGTCAACTTGTTATTCTGCGCCCTTGTACTCTGTATCCTTATTGTCGTGTTTCTTCTAAAAGCTGTGTGTACAAAATATATAAAAAAAAAAAACAAAAAAAAAACGATTGCTTTTCAGATATCCAAACTGAGTCGCGTCCGAATACCCGTCCATCTTCATTAGCCCCTCCAACGTGTACCACTCGGGACCCTCCCCTGGCTAGAGCCTTGTACGCATACTCTGCGGCCGGAGACAACCAGCTCAGCTTCCAGCAAGGAGACGTTTTAGCATTGCTCGGCGAGAGAACCAAAGGATGGCAGTACGGAGAAAATTTGCGGACTCACCACGCTGGCTGGTTCCCTCTTGCGTACACCGAACCGATAATGAACGAGGAGCCTACGTATGTTCAAATTCATGTTGTTAATGTAATTTCGCGGTAGGCAGCGGCTTGGCTCTTCCCCTGGCATTGCTGAAGTCCATGGGCGACGGTAACCACTCACCATCAGGTGGGCCGTATGCTCGTCTGCCTACAAGGGAAATAAAAAAAAAAAAAAAATGTCACTCAGATGGGCGTACGATCTCCCGGCCTACCTGGTCTTTAGTGGGTCCCGGAGCCCATAGACATCGACAATGTACTTGCCGCCACCCAGTTTCATACATGATTTCTAAGTCTCACCTTTATAATACAACGCCCTTCAAACCGAAACGCATTACTGCTTTACGGCAGAAATTGGCAGGGAGGTGGTACCTACCCGCGCGGACTCACAAAAGAGACAGCAGATTGTACTTAAGACGCTTACATACTCATATTCTATTTAATATTAACTTATTCATGAGTGAACCTCAGACGCTTGCTAAACTTTTTTGTTTTGTTATGACGGAAAAAAAAAGTGCTTTATAGACGCATAGACGTATGGGCGCTTGGACTGAATAGTTCTAAAAATGTTTTACTTCAAATTGGCTTCAAGTCTCAATTGATTTCATTATAATTCATTTATAATACGGTAAATACAATTTCGTTATCGAACTAACCATCATACATCCGATAATCTCTTGCCAAAGATTGATTTACTTTCAATTGTTATGGACGGTTGATATTAATACGATCATCAACAACTCAATGAACTTGCGCATGATGCTTGTCGGTTCGTGTAAATATAACTTCACTTTCATCAGGACTAGAAGTACATAATCGAATTTTTGTCGCGATTTTTTTTTTGCTTAGATGGATGGATGAGCTCACAGCCAACCTGGTGTTAAGTGGTTACTGGAGACCATAGACATCTACAATGTAAATGCGCCACCCACCTTGAGATATAAGCTCTAAGATCTCAGTGTAGTTACAACGGCTGCCTCACCCTTCAAACCGAAACTCATTACTGCTTCACGGCAGAAATATGCAGGGCGGTGGTACCTACCCGTGCGGACTCACAAGAGGTCCTACCACCAGTAAGAATCGATTGAGCGTCAAAATTTGCACGGCTTGGGATCACGTGGTTTCATTCGCTGTGAGCTCTGGTAGTCGCAAGGTTGCAAGTCGGTGTTGTTCCAGTGGGTCTCCGGCGCGTTGGAGCAGCGCTCAGACGCCGAGTGAGGCGCCCCCGCCGGCACCGCTCGCGCATGCGCAGACCACTCCACACGTTGCGCCACCGACCCCGCACTCCCACCCCCCCGCACGCATGTTCGGCGACACTGTCACTGCACACCATGTCTCTAAGGTACTATACAAGATTACCCACCACTTCTGTCTAGATATCAATTAAGCATACACCCATTTTGCCCGGTCATCGTTTTCGTCAAACCCGTCGCTCGACGAGTAGATTAACCCACAGACACAGCCCACTGAGTTTCTCGCCGGATCTTCTTAGTGGGTCGCGTTTCCGGTCCGGCGGTACATTCTGCGAAGCACGACACTTGCTAGGATTCATGTTAGCAACGTAGTCAGGTTACTACTAGTTAAGGTTACGCTGAAATAGCCTCTCAAGGCTATCGGCTTAGGTAGAAAAAAAAACATTTTGCCCAATCCTTTTTAATTTTTGGTTCGTTAAAAAAACCCAACTTATTCACTTTCAAAAGTTTCCAGTTTATGTTTACAAGAAAACAAAAATAATTTTGCGCGCTTAGAAGCGTTAGGTAGGTTGCTATTTTATTCTAAATTCGTTTTTGTCCCATATTCGTTTAAGTGATTACCCTCATCTGATCGCAACTGAGACATTAAATCGTGATTCAAGTAAATATAAATCGAACGCCCACATCAGCGTTCATTCAAATCTGAAAAGGCTCAATGCGAACATTGATGTTCTAATAGGATCAACAGGGCTTTACCAAATGATGTGTAAATGGATGAGTTACTTCAGCATTTTTGTTTTCATGAGTTTTTCTTCCGTGATAGGGTCGTCTTGGGAATGGCTCTCCTGGTCTTCCACCAACATTACCGGCTCCGTCTCCTAGTGCGCTCAGCTCATCGGCAAGTGCGACTTTCCATGCTCCGACCCCAGGGGCGGGCGGCGTCAGTGCTATAAAGAATTCAACTTCAGCAGCGAGCTTCACGACCCACGCTGTCATTGAGACCCGAAGCTTTGGACCACAAACACTACCAATGCGCTCTCAGGTAGTAGCGTAATCCTAAAGCGTATCTGTTTTGCTTCCTAATCTGTATTAATCGAAACATGTGTTTTATAGATGGCCCAAAATAAAACTGGTCCCGCTAAAACCGTAGTGAGCGCAGTCGGAGCTGTGGGAAACGTATCGCTACACAGCTCTAATGATTCTGGATTTTCAAACGAGCCTCCGCCGCAGCCAGACATCGATTACAGTGACGAAGAAGCTCAACGCCTGCGAGTGCCCATCAGGTAAAATGCTAGTTCATTCGAGTAGTGTGTTTTTTTTTGTTTACCGCTTTTTTGTTTTATTTATGTTGTAGTAGCGCTAGTAGTGTTTCATTTCCTTTCATTTGTTTTGTTTTAGTAAAACCGCTGAACACAAAGCATATCTACTCAAAACGCAAAGCTTGAAACGAGGTCCAAAGCACAACAACAATACCGCGAACGGGTACCTGACCGACGACCAACAACTTATATTACGCAACATGCTGGATATGGACAAAGATTCGCAGAAAGTCAAAAGAACCAAATCGTTCTGGAAGTTCGGACGGACTACCGCAGAGGAAATAATGGAAGGCATGTCATTGTGGCAGCACAGAGATATTGTTGACACTGTACCTGAATTCAAAAAGAAACTTTTTGTTAAAATAAAAAAAGAGCTTAGACCTGCCCCCGAGGTTCCCGAAACACGAAAACAAGCTATACCTGAGAAAATTCAAACGCCTACTGTCCAAGAAAACATTCAACATCGTTCAAAAGAAACCATTGATAGAAAGGAAATGAAAATGAACAAGGGTATACGGCAAGCGAGGAGCCTGGGGTCGATACAAACCGAAGAACAAATTGAAAAAGCCCGTAAAAATCGCGAAGGATACCAACCCACACAAACTATAAACAAGAAGAGTATGTCAGAAAAGTCCATTGCCGAAGAGAAGCACGAAGACTTCGTACAGAGAAACGAATCACGTCATTCTGATCTGACCAATACGAGTACCATAAAGACTAACTTTGAGAATAGTTTTTACAATGATGAAAACGGTGAAGGGTTCGTTATGAAAACCGTGAAGAGAAGAGAAATATTACAGAGATACGATAATGACAGTAGTTCAGAAGTCAATTCTGTAGCTTCGAGTACCGACCCGTATGACTGCATTATAGTTGATGATCATATGACGTCCAGGAAGCAACAAGAAGTTGAAAAACGTAGACAAGCACAGATGAGCGATGAAGAGGTAAAGAAACGCAAAGAAAACTCCTATATGCCAGAATTTGAAGAAATTGAAGTAACTCCTATTAAACCACACGTCAGGGCTACGTTATCTTCAGAAAAAGTGAAGGCATCAACACGCGAACGTTCACCACCAAAGGTTATGGAATTCAAAACGTTTAAAGATACATCGAAGGAAATCAAAACATTTTCGGCTTCATCAGAAACCCTAAAGTACAAAGATAATGAACAGCCAACTGACCGTTACGGTATTCCGATGGAACGTAATAACATTGAAACTCATGACGAAAATACATACAACGGACATGACGAAGGGACTCTTAAATACAACAAAAAACGCTCCAGTGTCGACGACAAAAACCGTTCGCCGAATAATTTTGAGAACAACAAGAATCACAAGAAAGAATACCCACAAGCTGAATCCAGGAACGCAACGAAAGAATCAAGACCGAAATTCGAGAGCCGTGAACGAGAACCGAGGATCGACTATTCATTAGACAGACGTCAAGTCAGAAAAGAATTTACAGAGTCGAAGTCAAGAGACACAAGAAACAGAAACAGAACAAACAGAAGCTATGACGATAGCACTTTACAATACAACGGACGTAGAGAAGATAAATACTACGAGACCAATATATCGTACTTCAGTGACCAAGAACGACGTGTCTCACGATACGACTACGAGACGGATTCGAAGAAAGCTGAGAAGTCGAAAATACGTCAAGAGGAGGCTCGATTGGAAGCCAGAAGATTTGTGGATAGACGTAGCGAAGGCCCGTATAGCGAGTCCGACGATCAAAAGTTCAATGAAGCTTTAAAACAACAAAGACCACAGCTATTGCCTCGAACAAAGCTGCTGAAACGGGCAGCAGATGGTAATGATTTGCCAGAGGAAGGACACACTTTCGGGCCTTGGTATGATTTATGGGGAAGGGAAGCCGTTGTTTACAAGTAGTTTTTAAAAGGTTTTGTTTGTTTTGTGAATGTTAATCACTTCGCTTTGTTTATGTAGATAGAGATAAGTTAAAATTTCTTTGTTTTTGGTTTTCCGCAATTTATTATTATTATTCTGGGTTTTTATTATTATTTTAGTACTTTTTAGTGACAGTTGAGATTCGTAATGTTTTTAAATTTTTAGTATGTACATAGAATACTTGTTATATTTCTGGAATTATATTATTTAATTTAGGGAATAAAATACGTTTCAGGCCTCAACAATTCGCTACGGTAAAGTTAAGGAAGGCATTGACAAACGATCGCTCGTCACCTGCCATTGAATAATATTTATGATACTTATACGATACATAATTACAAATATTTTGTTAATTAATATTAAATGTAAATTAGGAACATCATGTATTTTGTACAGTTAAATATTCATAGTCTAACAAGAAATATATCACAATTTTTAATATAATCCCAAACTGCTGGTTTCATTTCATTACAAAACTTTTATCCTTTTAAAATTTAGAAAAACAAATTCAGTACAGTAACTGAAATCTTAAAATTCTAAATTGGGTTAAATTAGGAACACTCCAGAAAGTTCTGAAATTTTATCTGAGCAACATAGAATTACCAAGTAAAAGGAAAAAATGTTTAGAAAGAAAAACAAAAATTCCACTGTTACTAGAACGATGAGTACACAAAGCGGAGGAGAGAGCGAGACATCAACGTCAATTGGGCTTTCGCAACAATGGCCGATGATTTATTGTGTTTCCGTATCCTGTGGGATGCAACCGGAAGATACGCCACTGTCACCATAGAAATATTCCTTACGATATGTTACGTGTTCCAAGGGACCGTTTCGCAACTCGTCTCGATTGTATAGAAATGTTATGGGTGGAAAAATAAAAATGTTACGGTGGAAGGGAAAAATATTTTTAAAGAATTCTCGTAAAAAGTTCCGCCCGTACTATAAAGTGACAACCAAACCTAGATATTAATCTGTCAGTGCGCCAATAAATTTCATGTTTATTAAAATGTTTTTGATTGTTATCTAAGAGAAAATTCAATAATTTAAAGCATTTTATTTTCGCTAAACATGTCGACTGACCTTTTAAAATTTTGCCCGTATTAAAAGAAATTCACAATATTTACAATTCATAATACGTGAATCAACCTTATCAGCCTCAAATTAGATAATTCCATTTCCATGAAAATACCGCACGAATCCTTATCCATTATAATAATGTGGTACTTCCGCATTTAAATTCAATGTATACGTCAAAACATTCGTCAAAGGTAATTATTTAGCTCTTAATCTTTTCAGAACGTTAGGTTGACTGAATTGGAATAAGTTCTGGTTTAATGTAAAAATGACCATATACGCAGAAGAAACTTTCGAAGTAAAAAGTTCTTTATCACTATGTATCAAGTTTATGCAAAAATACAACCTTAATACTTAATGCAGAAGTATACGATACTTGTAAACCCGTTCAAACTAACCCAATATATCCACTAATATAAAGACAACATAGTAAAATCCACACATTAAAAAATAAAAACAAGTTTCAAGTAATAACGCTGCGGTAAGAAATCGGTAGAGCATATAAGATCTCATGAGAATAATATTCTTTAAAGGTAAACTTAAGAAAGCTTTACGTGAATAAAAACTGGTCAAGTGCCATAAAAGTATGAGGTATTTGAATTCCAGCTACTAATAACAACAAATACTCAACAGAGACCAAGTGTATGTAAAATACACTTTAAATCGACCGCAATGATGACAAACAAACTCTAAGAAAGCCCGTAGCCTTCTCACATAAAATCAATTTGCAGTGCAAATCGAGCGAAGAGACCGATGCTTTCCGACTCATCGACTTTTAGAAGCGCTTTGGCCTGGAAAAATCCACAATTTCATGTAAAAAAATATGCAGCAGATTCAACGTCGTGTGCCCGTCAGCGATGCATCGCATCAAACTGGGATTTTATTTTAATCCGTTTGCTGTAAAAAAAATATGTACGCAAATGGGCGTCATAGTGATAAAGCTTCACAAAAAATCTACACATCACTATGGAGTTGCTTTCTATTTGGCATAACTTTTTTTATGTCAATTAGTAACAGTATAAGTATTAATATATTATTTCATTTAAAGAAGGTCGAAAGATTCGATTTGATGCGTTTTATGTAAAATAATTTTTCAAATCGATGTCACAACTTTGAAATCGCGCCATTTCCAATCAATGAAATTTCCAAACGATCGAAATGTATTCTATATTTAAGACTTGCTGTATATAAAGCGTAGATATTTTTCTGACAAAGCCTGACTGCGGACCGTTGTACGTAATCCACATGATAAGCGTACAGGGCAATTTGGCACCAGTACAGGCCTCTATCACATTTCGATGACCACACGCAGCATGGACCACTGGTTTAGTTTCGTTGGCCCGAATTATGGTAAATTGTGGTTTTACTATCGTCAAAGTGTCCTAATTCATCTTCCTGTAAAAATATGAGGACAATGCTCTGAGTATTATCCACTTATGTAAATGTAAAAAGTATACTATAATAAATAAATAAATAAATATATGTATAATATGTATAGGTATATAACCTACTATATATAATATTTATATTAACTCCTATAATAATATGTCTGGTGATTTTATCGACACAAATAGTTCTGAAATGTTTGAGTAGTTTAGTTAGTTTAATTTTATTTAATAACGAAAACAAAAACAAACAACAACATTGCACATCGTTGTCACAGAAACGCTTATTTCTACATCACTTCTTCCATTGTAAGTAGCTTAATAAAAATATCTCATACGAGTACAATAAGTAGGTCAGACTGTATCTGACTGTGTCAGAAAAACACAAAACAAAATCGTAAGAACACCCTATAAATTTCAATCCGTCAAATCTTGCTTTGTAGCCGGAAACCAGTGTGCTTAGTTTCACGAATCCGCTAGAGGAACAAAAACTTCTCGAACGTTAGCAACGGGAAGTGTACGGTTCACGATTAATCAACGCCAAAAATAGACATTGACATATTTGCATTCGTTTCCCCACATCATATTTTTCTTTTGCCTACCACACACCTGTAAAAGTGAATCTGCCGACAAAAGAAGTAGGTTTATTGGCTTGTAAAGGATTTGCTTACTTTCGCGAGTAAACGAATATTTACATGTTACATCGATCACTTTTTCGAGCGCTTTAAATGTTAACTGCGAAGTGAGCCATGCGACTCTTTTGGAATAATTTAAATGTCTAGACTAACAAAAACTTATCGGACTGATTTGCTAGTCTATTATGTATCGTCCTCATTCGAAATTGTCGCATTTGAACTATAGCCAAGAAATGGTTTCCGCAGCCGTAAAACGTAGGTTTTAAGAGAGTATTTTTTTGACGACTACTATTTGACATTGCTAATGTTTATCTATATATTAATACGTGAAGCAAAAACTTTGTATCCCTTTTTACGAAAATTGCGCGGACGGAGGAGTATGAAATTTTCCATACTTATAGAGAATATAGAGAAGAACTGCACAATGCTAATTTTTTTTTTTAATTATGCGTAAAAGATAAATTAAATCAATAAAGAAAACATTACACACACTACCATGTATTTGACACACACACACACACATAAACTCTTTGTTTATTGTCAAACTTTTGTTATTGCTTAAAGTCTGTAGTCAAATTGAGAATAGGTTAGTATTGTTTATCTTTAATATTACGAGTATTTGTCTATAGTGTAGTCTTGGCGAAATCTGTAACAATAGGACCATAATAATGTTGAAATTTATAATTTCAATTAATTACAATAGTCGAATTTCGACTACTGGGGGACCACTAGTAATATTTAAAATGCGGAGTCAACGCAGCATCAATCGCGTTTGAGTGGCAACAGTTTGGCAGGAGAAGACCTGGTCGTCCGTGTACATACTTGGCGACGCATCGTGAAGAATGAGATGAGCAATGCCGACGTGACCTGGAGTGATGTCAAGGAGCAAGCGTAAGACAGGGTCAAGTGGAGACAACTTGTCAGTGCCCTATATACCAGTGGGGTACCCTAGGACTACAACACAACACACACACGCACACACGTCGTTTATAACCGGGGGCTACTATGCAGACCGTAGTTTTGTCTATAAATTTAAATGTCCAAAAAAAGTATCTAATTTTTAATTTACCCTTTTCGTATATTTATCTATATTTTTTTAGTATGATTTAAACGCAAATGAGGTATTATATTTAAAAAAAAATTCTAGAAACGTTTTGCAAGAATTTATATTTCGCAATACAATAAATTTTGCCATAAACAAGAATAGGCACTGAAACTATTCGATGCCGATGCACGAAGTATTTTCTTTCGTTGTTTTTGTCCTCCAGAACTGATACATATTGCATTACCCGCCTCGTCTCCATCAAGTTTTATCCCCGACACACTGTTCTAGCCACCTTTCAGTGAAACTACTCAGGCTGAAACGGAAAATCTCCGATACTATTCAAAAGATTAACTCAAAGTTTCCTTTCGAACCGAAGTTAGTTCGCAAAGTTGCTGGACTAAAACAAAAGGGCGGCTCGCATAGATAAAACGTTCTTAAACCTCTTTCAGTAACAATTCACCGAGCTCCGTAATACAGAAATATATTTTGAAGACTACTTTGATTTGAGAAATATTATGATTGGATTTGAAAGTAAATTACGTTACTGGTTCAAAGTTTTATGAAACACTAGTGAAATAAAGGATATCTCTATATTCAGTAATACAAGTCAGTATGTTTGTAGCGTAAAGAAGACACCATTTTTACTGGTGGTACTACCTCTTGTAAGTCCGCACGGGTAGCTACCACCACCCTGACTATTTCAGCCGTGAAGCAGTAATGCGTTTCGGTTTGGAGAGTGGGTAATATTGGTATTGTACTGTATACTGAGACCTTAGAACTTATATCTCAAGATGGGTGGCGAATTTACGTTGTAAGCAATAAAAAAAATTATGGCCATTAAAATATTAAGTAATCATGTATTAATATATAATATGTGGTATAATACATATATATATGTAAAATGTTGTTTCGTAAATATCATCATATTAGATCATAAATAATTTTTATGAAACAACAATGCACTTTGAGGACAGATTCTACAACGGTAGCCAACTGCTTGCCTATATTCTCGGCATTGCTGATATCCACAAACGACGTTGACCGTCGACCGTATTCTGGTCTAAGATTTTTTTAATCAATAGAAGAACCGACACGAAAATACAACAACCAAGTTTCATATTAAAACTGCATAGGAAGAGTTAAGTGGCATTATGCGGCAAAAACACGAAAGACCCCTCACGCCCTATTTACCCTCAGAAAGTAAATGTCAATAAAGTACAAAAGATCCCTCCAGGGGAAGAGTGCCCGTACCGAGGGCTTCTTGTTCGATAACCACCGACAAGTAGTGTGAAAATATTTACTCTTCAGACTT